GTCAGTTTCTGGTTGTAGGGTTAGTTCTCTAAGAGGACGGGGCATCATTAAGGGACTCTGGAGATCTACACAAACCCCTCTTCCCCTGCCTCACCAGCCAGACTTGGACCAAGCACAATTCAGCACCTTAATCTTTCCCTATCCCTAAATAGAGAAAAGCATTGGCTCTCACCAAACTCCTGCAGCATCCAGGTCCCCAGAAGTCTGTGCTTTGGGAGAAGAGGCTGTGGACCAAAGATTCTAGAAGAGACAATTTATCCAGGATTTACAGGAAACAGTGGGTTGTTGAACCATCAACTCTTATTCATCCCGGAATAGACAGGACCTGCTCTTGGGGTGAGGACAGAAAGAGAAATACAATGAGTCTGCAGGACGCTGGTGTGAACCTGGCTCACCCTACCTTGTGCTGGAATCTAGTTGCTTGAAGTCCTTTTTGGTCAAGAGAGGGAATTTCACGTTGTGCAGCCTCCTCCAGAGCAGGAGCCCTGCAAGGATAAGAGTTCCTTCAGCGCCGAATGTGGCTTCTCCTGGATACATACTTAACCTTCATGAGTTCTGGTTTTGCTTCATTGTTGTTGTTATTGTTTGTTTAATGCTTCCTGAGGGAATAAGGCAGTTTTGTTCCTTTGTCTTCCTCTTCTCTCTGCCCAGATTTACCCGAATTCTGGCCTCCAACCTTGTTCCCACCGCAGGCTCCCAAGTACCCATGATCATGGGCACACCCATCACTCTGTTGTTATTTCTAGGGCAGAATTCAATCTGTTAGCGTTTGACTTAAGCTTCTGCACCTATGATGTTCTTCTTAGCATCACTGTTGAAAAAATAACTGGTGTTAATTTTTCAGCAACTTCACAAAAGTATGGGGAAGTGCTGGGTCGCAGCTCAATGGCAGAGATCTGCCCTGATGTGGGGACCATTCTGGACAGAACACCGTGCAGCACAGCCATTACCCTACAGCTGAAGGAAGTACCATTTCACCGACATGATGAGCTTTCTTTCCCTCATGGGCGAGTTTATCATGGTTTGCCATCCTGGCAAAAATCAAAGTAGAAAGTTTAGAAATTTGTTTTGCTTTGCAGTCATCTTTCACTTACAATTAGCTTGTAAAATAATGATTAACAGCTTCCGTCAAAACCCTGAAAACTGTAGCTTTTTAAAAAGTAGTGTTTTGGTTCACATATGTGTGGGTACCACACATGGGACTGGTGCTCATGGAGTTCTGAAGAGGGATCCCCGAAACTGAAGTTAGGGATGTTGGTGAGCCAGCATGCTGAAAACTAAACCCAGGTCCTCTGCAAGAGCAGCAAGCGCTCTGAACCTCAACACAATCCCAGTGCCTGTAAACTGCTCCTAATTTCATATTCATAATAATGAACCAGTACTTCTTAATATCATGACAGCTGAGATTGGACATGGCTTCAGGATGGTTAGAGTAATATATGTGAGGATTGGGTGTAATCATAACTGAGGCAGGAGAATACTAATCATCATAGCACTAATTATTTATTTATTTATATTTCATTTTTATTTATGTATTTTGAGATGGGATCTTTCTATGTCCACTTGGCTGGCCTCGACCCATCAGACTGGCCTCTAACTCACAGAGATCCACCTGCCCGTGCAGCCTGAGTACTGGAATTAAAGGCATGAGTCAAACCTCCTGGCTACAGCTATTGAATTTCTATAGGCCCAAGGGTTATCTCATAAATATCCTGAAATCTACATGTAGATGTGGTGCAGGGGTATAAAAATTATACTGGAAGGTGGGAATCCTGAGAAGATACACAAAATAATTAAATCACAGAAAAGAAAAATAGAATCCTGAAGTCAAACAACCTTGTGGAAAAGAAGTTTGTTTTGACTCCAGGAATCCAATTTAACTAAACAATGAGGATGCATCTGAATTTGTGACTCATTTTACAAGAAGGTAATATTATCTAAAACTGTAAAACCATAGGAACACTAGAGAAGTTTCTGGAAGCTGAATTACTAGGTCAAGTGATAAAACTACTTATATATTTTATATTCACCATTGGGTTTTCCACAACAATTTTCTATTGGGCGGGTCTGTGGAGGCACGCTCAGCACCTGATAGGACACAGGCCTAGGGCTCCATATCTATTATAAACCAGCACATTCCTCTATGTTCCCCAAGTACCCCGAGCAAGGAGGAAATCACTGTCCCAAGATGAGTTCAGACTGGCCATGCATTCAGATAGGTCCCAGGTAAAGAAAGCATTGAACAC